TAAGTTTTTGGATTGTTTGAACTTGTAAAGTTCTTACCCGCCCCTAATGGGCATCTGTGAAAAAGAGCTTTATAGCTCATCGGATTCCTCCAGGATAAATAAGGATTCTGATTCCGAAGCAGACTGCGAGCATAGCATTATGGTTATTATACCCGCAGTAATAATATTAATTATCAGGGCAGCCAAATAAACCAATGCCATATTAAAAAAAAAATTGCATTAAAAACACAAACCAGTTCAGCCATTTGTGGCATTCAATGCTTTCAGTATTTTGGCAAAGGTGTCGTGAAATTGTGAGGGGAAATTGAGGCAGAATGGGAATACCTTATTTAACAATAATTCACATTCGAAGGGCACATTTCACCCGTTGATCCCATATGCACCATATGGGTAAGAAGACCACACCATCTGGTAAATGGCCTGAGGAGGGATCGCAAAATTTGCCCAACCCTCCGCTCCATTCACCATAAAAATAGAGATATCAATGACTATCTCAACACTTGCGGTATTGCTGCAATAATTTTACAGTGATTGTTTTACGTGTTCTCAGGGTAATGTTTAAAAAGAATTTGAAGAAATGGCACGGGGAGGCATATGGAAAAACCTGGCTGAATCACACACCCACCAAGTCTGAGGGAAATATATCTGAATATACAGTGTGTTTATATATACACACTGAAATACGGAACAAAATGACGAAATAAGCCAATGCCAATTGTGTTGGTTTTGCATTTGTTTTCGTTTGAGAACATGTACAACATAAGATTTCAACATGTTTAGACAACAGTCTTGCCAGGGTAAAATACGTATGACGCGGTATTGAAATCAAGCTTTTTATTTGCTTGTTAATCATGAAATTTTTAGGATACAAAAAAAATCAAAATTTAGGCAAAAGGAATAAACCAGCACGTGCGTTTGATCAAAGCAACACATGCCTGATTTAGTGTAAGTTTACGCACAGGTTACGTGCAAGGACGCTAATTTCTCAGCAAGTCTGTCCACACACCCACATATGATTCTACTTGGGGATGAACTGACCCTATCCGACCCCAATTTTGTGAAATGGCCTATGTCCACAAATACATTTTTTGTTCCCTATCACATGTTACCTAGCAGGTTATGTCATTTATTTTCTTCCGCCACTTAATTATGGAACCTCAGTGCTGGGTATTGCAAATGTGTAAATGACATGTTGTCGTACTGGCTGCATAGCTGAGCACAAAGTCGTGAACTCATCGCGGTTAAACGTTTTAAAAACGCAGCAGGAATTAAAAACAGAAAGCCCACCAGCAATTAAAATACTATTTACAAAAAATTGAATTAGCCAGTGGAAAATAGAAAAACATTACTGGCAGCAGGTTTTTTTTGTGAGTGTTTGCTAAGATGCGTGAAAAAGAAAAAAAAAACTAACGATCAAACGGTTACCACAATCATCACAGTCCCGGAGACATGAGCATACCCACCGAATGCAGGAGCCATTAGGGTATTCTAAAACTTGGGGACGGATTAACCTTGATGCGGAATGCCCAGCCATGTCCTCTGAGAAACAAATTTGTCAAGTGACATCGCTCGCAGGAAACTTGGTGAATGGGTGAATAAAGCCATGAGGAAATTAACTGCAGCTTTGGTCAAAGGCAGCAATGAACACCCCCCCCCCCTTACCCACCACCCCCACCCTCCTCCCCCCTCTCAGGGCAGTATTAGGGTAAAATAAATTTCAGGCCCTTGCCTTTGTGTTAGGCCCTGACCAACACAGCTTGCACTGTCATGATACCCCAAGTGACAGCTTTAACAGACCCTCGCTGTGATTTTTTTGTGCGACCACGCATGTAGGATTTGTAAAGTCTGCTATCCTCATTGCCGAGAGGCATAACGCATTGGTTAACTCCAGACGCATTTGCCGCGGTGGTGAGATGTTAACTACATTTCTTGGTATACAGGAGGTCGTTGTTTCGATCCCGACCCTGACGCCTGTCGCGTGGATTTTTCTCCGGGTTCTCCGTTTTTTTTATCCACATTTAGAAACATGCATTTTAAAGTATCAGGCTAATTTAAAATTTTCCAGATAAGCTACTTCCTTGAGCTATCATTTGTGGCCAGGTCGCTTCTGAAAAAGAGCTACAATTACTAAGTGGGGGCCTTAATTGGTAAAATAAATAGTTTTCACTAATAGCTTCTGAGAGTGGTTTTCATTATGTACACCTCTCGTCTGAAACATATAGATGCCATCCAGATTAAACGTTCCATGCATGCACCGCTTGGGTAGGATCCGTCGTTGTGGCTGCACACAGTAGGAGGGGCACTCCATTTTTTCGCAAGTGCATCCGTAGTCGCGGGGAAGCGTTTGGCGGTCACACAAAAATGACACAAACTAGGCGAGCCTGGTTTTACGAATGCAACGCGTCTAAACGTCATGAGCCTACCGCGATTCCGTTCCGTCGGAAATGCATGGAGGGCGCACCAACGACAACCTCCCAAAGGAGACACACGGCCGGGTTGGAGTCTTCAGTGCTTTTGTATCAAGACGTGATAGTCACAGGCCCACTTCTGCTGCAGATGTATCACGGCTTCTATACAATAGGAGCCCCCTGTCACTGGGACGGACGTCAGGTGCTAGGGGCTATGGCTGAAGAAAAACAAAACACCTCGTAGTGTTCATCAAGCTGCAGCTGATAAAAGTTCTCACTATGCCCTTCCCAGCAATTCAGCAAGGTCTGAGAGCTTCAAGGGATGGTGCTAGATTTATCCATCCGAAGTTTTTTTCGGGGGTTCCATCGCGTAAACCCGCCAGCCAATTAGTAAGGTTTGTCACGTAAACGAAACATGCCAATTCAATTTAAGAGCGAAACAGGAGGATTTCTCCACAACTCTGGCTTCACCTGATGAGACTGGTTTTAATTACCAGCGAAACGTCGTACTCGAATGTTGCGGGTTTACTTTTCAACACACCGGTGTGCAAATTGGCACGTTTTTTTTAAATCGTTTTAATCGTCTGTGTCGGGTGTTGGTGGTGGGTTTAACGACACTTTTATATTCACGTGATCTAACCCAAGAAAAAAACTCGTATTATGGATATTGGTCGCGACAGCCTCCTGCATGGTAAGCAGTGCTACTTTCTACCTGCAGATCCCTGCCATGTCTTGTTCTCTTTTGTAAAAAAAAAAAAACTCCTTCCAACTGTAGAGGAAACTAATTTTAATTTAAAAACATTGAAATGTTAGCGAACCCCCTTTGAGATTGCAAAACTCTCAGCATTCCACTCGAACCAATGTAACAATGCACGCGACAAATACAAAAACACCATTACAATCGCATAGCACCCCCCCCCCCCCCCCCCCCCCCGGCTATGAAGCTGCAGGCAGATTCATTCAAACATCAGTACAGGAGGATGGCATTGCTTTATTAATGATAATGAATGCTCGTGGTTCATTGTACAAAGTCAAGGGAAAGCACACACTTCCGCCAAAATGTTACCAGTTTGCTGAAAGCGAGGGCTCAATCTTTCACACGGTTTGTAGATCCGAGCGGTCTAACAGCCAGCCCTTGCATGTGGAGGAGTTTCAACGTAAATTCAAGATGGCGTATTAAACATTTAAATGCTTCCGTACAGGGTCATTAATGTACCACACAATCTTTACCGTGGTTATCACGGCAATAATTGATAGCGCTTCTCAACCTACTGCTCAGATGAAGGCCTTCCCCCTCTGTGCCTTGTCGGTTGGTAGCGGTTACGTGGCCATACCTCACCGCGTTGCTTAGTGTGGGTTGGTAACGGTGGGATAAAGACTAGTTCATATATTACTCACCAGCACTGAAGATTCACGAGTTGAACTCAGGTTGCCGAGTTCGTAGCGCGGTGCACTAACCACGAGGCCACCACTCTCCAACGCCTTGTAGTTATTTAAAGAGGTGTGACATTTAATTTATATTTTATTGTAAGGACGCAAACACAAATGTAAAATTAATTGAGGTAACGGTAAAGGCCTTCTGTTGTATATTTATACAGAACCTAGTGTAACAGGGCTCCGAGGTCTTCAAGCAAAATTATATCAATCTTAAAACAGAACAAACATTAAAACCAAAACAGCCTCGTCCTAATAATTTAAGGATGTAGAATGTGTACGTTACTTTTGTGTGGCGAATTGATAGTATGGACATGTATGTTTTTGGAACATGATTTAATGCCTCTTTATCCTATACATATTTACACAGTATTTATAAAATACCTTCCATTCTTCGGGTATGCACGCCTCTGTTTGTGGACCAGGCCCTGAGTTTTCTGAATTCTTGTCATAATCTTCTTTGAAGAACGAATATCGTTTCTTTGCCCGTGCGTACAACTCAATGGGTGACGAACTCTGAAAGGCAACAACAAAAACAAAGGATACCTTCTTCAAATCGGGCACATCCAAATTTTACGAAAAAAGGCAATTATATTTTTCATCAACGCGAGACGCATACGGCCTCGCCCGGCACAGGCGACGCATTTAAATTTAAGAACGACGCACACAAATCTTGCGTACAATTATGCGCATACGCGCAAGTGAAACAATGCAACTTTGAAATGTATAAATTAATGAACAAGCGCGTAAAAAAATGCCGAGGTAAGAACATTTCGTACACGCCGCCCTATTGAAAACGGCTTAAAACAAAGAGGAATTTTGGAATACGGTAACGACCGTTTGTTGTAATTATATCGCGCGTAAAATGCCATTTGCAGTTATCTTGAATAATCGCTGACAGAATGGTGACACTTGAAAATGTAAAATGGAAATTAAAAAAAAAAACCCCATTCAAAGCAATCACAGCTCCGTTGTGATATATTTTAATTCATTTCCAACGGACACACAATTAGTAACCCTGATTGCGCCCCAAATTATTTTTTTACATCCGCTTTGGCACGTTTCAAAAATGCAAACCCGGGCCGAAATTACCCTCGCGAAAAAAGAATAAGACGGGGGGGGGGGGGGGGGGGGGGGGGGGGGGGGGGGGGGGGGGGGGGGGAAAGCAGAGCATTAAAAGTAAATGAGCCGGGCGGACTATGAACGATGGCGGAGCGGCACAACGATGAACAGAAAATCCCGGGGCGTGTTTGCGGCGGGCGAAGAAGATGACCGGCGAAAGACGCGCGGGCGCCATTGCGCCGAGCTAGGGGTTGGCGGCTGAGTGCCGGGGGGTGAGGATTTGTCACCGCGCTGAATGCCGCATTGCGGGGTTTTTGCCGCCGTACACACAAAAGACGTTGCACATCGTGCCACGCCGTGCAAGATAATTAGACGGGTCCGTGGACTTGAGCTTGACTCGGTTGCGCACACACCAAAGCCGGCGCAGTCAGCTTTAGTCGCTAATTTTTTAAAAGGCCCCCCCCCCCCCCCCCCGCAAACAAGTGCAAAAAAGTTTACAATGACGCGACAAAGGCAAGACAAATGTTGCTGAATACAAAATGAGCTGCTTCACGGACTGTTATCGCTGCAAAAAAAATGTTAGAATGAAACGCATTGTATTGTATCGCCTGATTTAGCTACAGACTTGAGATGCCATTGGATAAAACTGCCGCTGCCTGGCTGTTAGTACAGACGGGCAAGACAATGGAGCAGCAGGCGCTCCCAGACACAGACAAAGGGACGTCTGTCTCGCTCTCCCCTTCCCTCCGCCCCCCCCCTTCCCCACCCCACCCCTTAATCCTGTCTGAGCCAAGGCCAAGTTCATTACCATCAAGCCACCAATTAACGGCTCTTACTAAAACAGCCACTGATTGGACCGCAGGAGAGACACCAAAGTATCGCATAGACACATACTTTGTAGTACAAGCATGTTTCATTGGCTAATGAGATTCGCACAGTAACGAGCCGCGCTAGCAGACGGAGCTGACTTGGTCGTTCGCGTTAGTGGGGAAAGTACTCGTGGCTAATATCGCCGTTGCCATAGTGCGGCTCATTTGCCTAGAGCTTAAATCATGCAGAAGCGCCGGTTCTTACCCATGATGAGACGTTGGCTTGCTGCCCAGCGTTAAGTCCGTTTCCCACCGTCCGAAACAAAGGACAAGCCAGGTTGGAACCCAGTATATTTTTTTTTCTGCGGGGGGCCTTTTGTCGGGCTTCGCTGGGAACAAAAAGCTACGCGACAATCAGGGCGTCTGTTAATTAGTGCGATCTGCATGTCGGATCGCTAAACGCATTTTTAACGTCAAAATTTTTGTTGTTCGCGGGCGTTAAGCGGAGCGATTTCAGTGTTTTAGCGAACGCGTAAATATTCTAGTCACTGTTTGCTATATAATGCAGAACGCAGGTACAGCGTCATGCAGATTTTTTTTATTTTTCTTGTTTTTTTTTTAAATAATTACAATAGCTCCAGTGTTTTAAGTTTTTAGCGAAGGTGGACCGATACTCAATCGCCCAAGTTGAGTCGAAAAGTCGCGAAAACGTGCCGCCGGATGTACACGGGGAAAAAAGTATTTTCGTTGTGCAGAGCTGCAGGTTTCTGGTCTTCCACCTCTTGGCGAGACTGGAGCAAGATACCAGCTCTGCCAAACACCTCAGCCACAGACTAGAGCTGTCCTTCCACACCAGTCATTTGTTACAGGGGGCTGTAATGCACTCTGGCAAGGTAGCCAATCCGTGAACGGGTGCAAAGTTAACACGATGACACAACGGCTAAAGCCACCAGGCGTATCGGCCCGCCATCCTTAAAGAAAAAAATAAAATAAATGAAATTCGGCCTCATTTATTATTCAAAGAAATGTAAGCGGTGTCTAATCACCCAAGTGGCATTAATCTTCGTATAATTAATAATTAAGACAAGGCGCACATTTACATGAGAGGCCGCGGCCGCACTGGAAGTGGCCACCGGAGAGAGCCATCTAATTGAACGCGTAAAGTCACTAAAGATCGCGACTTTTCAAACATTTGTATGCGAGGATGCACACAAGCGCTCGCACTTATTTGATTAATTAACCGGCACGGCGGAAAGTCGCGCAACAAATTAATCACAAAGCGCAAGAAAGAAAAAAACCATAGGCGCCATTAGCGACAAAAAAAAGCTAAGGAAAATCATGCATCGTACTGTAAATCATTAGGTTTGCGAGGCAGAATTGTACTTCCGCGACAACATTACAGGACTCCTTAATTAGCCAAATCGGCAACCTCACTCCCCAGAGCCGCAATTACGTTACCTTAAATCGCTAACCTCCTCGAATTAAGAAAGTTTTCGCCGCTCGCTGACAAATAGATTTTCCACAGTTTGCGTCGTCGCATACAGTAGGCCCGATGAAAATACAGCGGTGGTGGTGGCGGTGGTGGTGGCGGAGGAGGAGGAGGAGAAGAAGTGAGCCGAGGGAGCACACAAGCTGCCCCCCCCCCCCCTTCCAGTGCTCGCAGTCCGGCGCCCCGCTTCTCTCCGAGCCCAACAATGAAGTGAATTTCCAGCGAGCAAGCGAGCAAGCAAGGGAGCGCGTGGTGTGCCTCTCTCTCCCCTCCGTGCGAGCGTGCCGGGCGGCCGAGCAGGCGACGTGGAGCGGCGGCGGCGGCGACGAGGAGGCAGCACCGGCACACCGGGCCACGCCGGGGCGGCGAGCCACCGGCGTCCCCCCCCCCCCCCCCCCCCCCCAGCCGCCAGCGTCCCCGCCGGGTCCCGCACGACGAAGCGGACCGGCCGTCGACGCTGCCGGGGCCCTCCGAGGGACTTCCACTACCCCCCCCCCCACTCCCGCCCCCCCCCAGCCCCACACCGTCCTGCCGGCTGAGTAGAACCTTTGACTGTCTCTCTCTGTCTGTTACCCATGATAATGAAAACACCGGGACGAGGTAGCACGAGCGAGGGACGGCCGCGGCGTGTGCGACGGCTGAAGCTAAAAGCTAACAAGAAAAAGAGACTTAGCGGTGCTGGTGTAATTGGATAGAAGAACGGTAACGCAGAAATTGCGAGCGCGGAAAAAACAAGGAACGAAGAGCCGAACAAATACGGAGAATACATCGTTCAGAGCTATGCCGAATATTGTTTTACTGTACTTGCAGACTTCGGGAGCTGTATTCGAATGGAAATGTGGGATATTTAAAGCAATAGTTTAATATCGACATCAGGGCAAAATCATAAATACGTACGTTCGAGGAAATACGACATCGCATATAAACCAGAAAAGTAAGTTTAAAAAAAAAAGTCTATATTTGAAAAGAAATATGTACGTAAAAGTTATACGCCAACATTGCTGAACTACTTTTTAAAAGTTTATTTTAATCTGCGTATATATATAATTGCCAAATGTAATAAAAACAAAGCATCGATAGTATTTATTGTTGTACTCAGCTGTGCTTCATAAGCGATTCATACTGGACACTTACACAAGCGGCGAACTTGAATGGAGACATGCCCAGTATATAAAAAAGCCCATTGTTTATGCAAGCACAATACTATATGTTAAATGACAAAAATTTGTTTTAAGGAGCAATTAAGGAAACATTGAGTGCATTATTATTGCTTATTACTAAATGATTGCTATTACTAAGTCACCACCCTGCATCGCTAATATACATGTTGTCACGTCTGAAATGTAGAACAGAAAAACATATTTTACTCGTTAAAAGGGCCTCACCTCGCATTACGATTTAGACTGTGATATCATATTTAAGACGGTGGTATGAGTTGATAGTATATTATTATTTCCTTGATGTTGAATTAATGAGAAGTTTATAGCGCACATAATTAGAAGTGTATAACGTATTCCGTTTGAACAATTTGAGGGAAATGCCAACTGTATAACCTTACGCAAGGATATTTTGAAGTACTCGCGTCCCACAAATTCTAGATTTATTATAAATAATGATTTTTCCATCCAATGTAATGAAAATTTAACGAGAAATCGGATAATTTTACTAATGCTGTCTTGTTTAGAGGAAACGCTTTGAACATACACTGCGACGATGCTGGTACGCACGCACTCTATATATATACACACACCATAAAGCAGAATGTATAAAAACGAAATTTTTAGTTTGTTCTCGCAAAAAGCAGGAATTTAATGAGACATTTCCATGATATGCAGTGTGCTAAACGGTTTCTGTAAAATGGACGGAATGCATTTGAGGTGAAAGGCCTACACAAATGACAAGTCGCACCTGGTAAAATGCCTGAAGCAAAAACTTTAAAATGTCTCTTGTATACAGTGACTAAAGGTTTGAAATTCGGGAGCGTTGCAAAATGGAAAAGAATCGAATGACGTCTATCCCTGCAAAGTCCATGGTGAAGACAATTGTGCGAAAGAAGCCCGTTATGCAAATAGATAACGAACACTTAAAAGGCATCAGTTATATCTTTAAAGACTGTGGTTTGTTAACACGGAAGGGCATGCTGAAAAATAAGTATATACATAATGCACTGAAAATGTGATGTCATATTGATGTTACAGATCTTCACAGTACTGTATATAATAACATGTAACTATATTATTAATGTGTTAACATGACGAGAAAAAATATTGAAATTGATTTTAAAAAATACCAATGAGCATTTTATGAAATAGCCCTAAACGTGAATAAAGACAATCTGTTCCTCTTCAGTGTGGATGGGAATTCTCTCAGAAGTTGGTAATATTTTGTGTTTATTTAATGCTATATATTTGCCAATTTGACCTAAACTGATGGCACCATCCAGGATTGTGTAATTAACGTACACATTATTTAACAAAATATCATCCCAACTATTTGCACACGTGCAGGTACTCGTCACACACTCTAAACCTGGGCCAAAGTTTAACAAAATAACTCGACTTTTGATTTTTGTACAATTATCGCGGATATAAAATTGTCATATTTAAAATGTACTTGCATTGCGCAACCTGCAATCTGGCAAAATAAATACTGATTTGAGATACTGAGCGAGTCAAAAACGATGTGGAATCTCTGCAATGCTTTAAAAAAATATTTAAACATGAAATTCCACACATTCTCATCAAGGACACAGCACAAAAGTGAAAGTGTGCAGTATTACATCTCGCATGGACACATTAAATAAATACAGTCGTTCTGTGCGATAGCTGTGAAACTAAACGATTAATTATATGTATGTATGTGTTTTAAAACTGGAATGTTGGGATGTGAATGTGTAGAAATTCTCTCAGTAAAACAAGATTTGGAGTCAGCCATTTACGCGTTGGTTAACCACACGCAATTCCCGTACTCTAGGCATTTATACAAAACGCCATTATTTACAACTTTCTCATCGAACATTTTGCCTCGTTAGTCGATGCACATGCTCAGGCAAGGTGCCTTTAAGCCATTTTAGCATAGTTATATTACTGACATTAGCTTTTGCCAATCAACTGGTAGAAGATCTTTCAACAACATGTCAGTTATCAGAGTTGTTTCCCCATACTTTGCCATGCTGGTCAGTGCGGATTGTTGAAGGGGTGGCGGTCTACCCAGGACTCCTTCACAGGTCACTCACCACTGATGTTATCCGTGGCCCGGAATTGAACTCGGATCAACCGATTTTATAGTTTTAGCACAAAAAAAAACACCACCACCGCCACCCCTATCCCAGCCAAGTCCCTCGTCGTCGATGAAATATCTCCCAAAATCTCGAATCCCACAAAAAGGGGGTAAATGCAACTACATTTATACTAAATCTAAATTTACATTAAATTAAATCACGATGTTCCGGAGGCAACACAAGCTTCCGTCTTCAGGTGGAAACCGTTACAGCAAAATTGCTGTATCAAGTGAGCTGCAGCTGTTTCATTTTGCTGTGACAGTTTCCACCTGAAGACGGACGCTTGTGTTGCCTCCGATTTAATTTAGTTGTTTTCATTTATTTTACCTACGTGACTTTACCGAAAAAACCAAAGAGTATGAATCCTTGCAGTCACGAAAGCTTCAAATCTAGAACAACTACATTTGTAACACGATGTAAAAAAAAAGTGATGTTTCACAACCCATTTAACGTGGTTAAGTTCAAACAACAATCGCAGTGCCGACAGATGCTTATTCCATTTAGCCGGTGCGGGTTTGTCCGTTATGTATTAAAAGGGCAGGAAGTCATCAACCATACTAAGCAAGTGAGTGGACTGAGTTAGTTTGTAGATAATATTACGTCCCTACCAATAAACAGTGTTGGGTGGTGGTCATGATACAATTATCAGAATCCTTGTACACGAATGTGGATCGACTGGATAATATTGCGTAACCAAGTCTCGATTAAGAATGGACATTTAATGCCTAATTGGGTTATACCTGTGCCAACTTAAACCAAACCGCACTTTGTGATGGTCCCAGAACACCCTATCAGAAGGGAATCTAAACGGCAATCCTCGGAAAGAAAATGCATTAAAAAATATCCCCATCGCACCTCTATTACCCTCAATAGCAAACTACCCTCTCTGAAAAATTCAAGGCTGAAAATGGAAAATACAATGGTTGCACACGCATAATGCCATCGGCCGTTTCTGCAAGATGTAAGACCTGGTAGTTGTGCGTGCATTACCATTCAATGAAGGTCCCGTTGCATTGGAGAGTGTAGGCCAATCAGTTTCACAGACAATGCATATATTATCAGAGCATTTTCACCACAAGCACGTGTGGTTAATGCAGACTTGATTCCTTGCAAAAGTTTTATATTTGGTGTTTGAGCATGTTAACACCTCCTGTTTTATTTCCACAAAGGGTAAACATCTATTCTTATTTTTCATAATACGCATGACCATCGGAAGTTATTTCAATTTAACCGAATCATGAAAACCCGCCTGCTGCGCCGCACTATGAAAATGTAAGAGGATCTGTGAAAAGGGAGGCCAATCGGCCGATAATGTGCACCAAAAAAAATGTACGCCGTAGGCGCTCGCGTGCGCATCTGAATGTTATGCAAAGAGGGGCGCGCACGTGTTTCTGTACGCCGTCCGTTGAGATGCGCTCGCCATTTAGACGCCACGCAAATCCAAATTGCATTGCACTGCAAACGTGACATAGGCAGTGGGGTCTTTTTTTTATTTTGGGACAATCTATTAAAAAATGAGCAACGTCAACTACAAGCACCCGAGTTGGTTTTAATGAAAGAAATCTTCATGCACACCGCGTGCATTAAGCTCCCGACACAAATGAATGCATTGATACGCTACGCCCGATAAAAGTGGGTGTTTTGTGTCCTTGCCACAGGTGCAAACTTATTTGTTGACTGCTTTCACTAATCATGCCCGCTCCTCCCCCTGCTCTATTAATAATTCACGCAACTACCCTTTTCTCAGCGGTAACACCAAATGCGTCCCCGTGATCTCGACTCCCGTGACGCGGCACCGCGCGTCTGCAACCAAATCAATTTGCCGCTTTTAAAGCCGGGGGGGGGGGGGGGGGGCGGGGGGGGGGGGGTTCAGAAGCGGCGCTCCCTTGCCGAGATCTGCGTCCACCCGTTGGAAACTTAAAACCTCCGCTTGCTCGCTCCGGTGTCACGCGGTTGAAACAGCATCACACGTAGTGCCGTCGCCCCCGCCCCCCCTCTCGACCCCGCTTTGGACAAAGGCTATAAGTTGCTGTCCCCATTCGTTTGCGGATCTATGAAGCTCGCGTTGTAATGCTCAACGCAACAGTTGACTCGTTTTCCCCAAGTCAGGGGGTGTCCGAATGAACTGCGCGTATTCGGCGTTAAAACGAAGTCAGCACCACTCGCGACGACGTTCCATCGCCATGGCGATGCTATAACAACTAAGGTCCTCTGGGCCAAAATTTCACACTTCACGGCTTGACCACGGCCACTGCACGGTGTCTCTTCGCCCGGTGTTAAACTGCTCACTTTATGGAAACTTCGGCAATTAATGAGGAGCTGCCGTGCCTCCCTCCCGCACAGGTACAATTACAGCAGACGTGGGGTTTTTTTTTTAAGGTACAATTCCACAAATATGCAGGGCTTCTTGTCCATTAGTATTTTTGGTGGTGGGGCGGGGGGGGCTTTGAATGGTTTTGTAGGCCCCTGAAAAGGAGACCAGCTCTGGAGGTAACTTTAAACCCTTCGATTGTCAGACTCGCTGAGTGACTGTAAATCAGCTAATGCTCGGCTAATGCTTTGGGGGATTGGACAATGACCCTATTCTTCAAGCATGTGGGTACCGTGAATAAGCACTGGCAACGGAAACATGCCTTTTCCTTTAGCCAATAACCGGCGTAATTTTCTCCGTGCCGCTGTATGTTTTCATAAGTCTCCATGCCTTAGCGTTTTGCTAAGTTATTACAACAAACATTTCACTCTGCTGGCACAAGGAGGTTAAGCGAGCAATCGGTGTGGATATAGGTGTTTGTTTGCTTGTTTGCATTTTCCTCTTTTATGCCGACTTAAAACGCGGTCCTTACAATGCATTGAAAATTGTAATTTTTTACAAATTAAGGCTGCATGTAAAAGTTGCATTTCACACTGTTCACACAGCTGAGATATAATATCCAAAACCGTTACCCAGTGCAATCTGTATTACTACAACGCTGAACGTTGTTATTTTGATTTAAAGCTTTCGTGACTGCAGTAATTCATATTCTTAGTTCTTTCGGTAAAGTCACGTTGAAGGGAAACAATAAAATAATAAAATATGTATTTTATTATTTTAAAATATTTTTTTATTATTTTAAAATATATATTTTATTATTTTATTGCTTAACTTCAACGTGACTTTACCGAAAGAACTAAGTATATAACGTTGTTATTGTTTACCATTTGACCTTGACTTCGCAACACTGAATGAAAGCCATACACCATTTACCTTTTGAGCAGTTTGTACTAATCCTCAAATTCGAATAAATTTCAATTGATGGCGTTGAGCATGAACCTTAAATGAATGTGGTTTTTGTTTGCGGTTTCATGCCATGTTTATTATGCCGTGTGTCATGTTCTCCACTATACACACTGTATTTCAGATCAGAGCGCTACTGTGAAATGCCTTTCTAACAAGCTAATGCTTGCCAACCAGTTCAACTTGCGGGCGTTCAATTAAATAATTATAACGGCAGGTAAATACAACTCAACGTTATTGCATCACTCTTAAATTAAACGAAAGCAAATGTTACGTCATCATCATCCAGCCATGGTCGATCCACGGCTGCATGAAGGTCTCAACAAGCCACTTTTATAATTACTGTTAAGAATTAAGTACACATTGCTTTCAGGTTCATCAATTAAACATTGCTTAAATAACATGTTCTAAGTGTTAAGTATGTTGAGAACTACATAAACAGAATAAAACACTAATTACACATATATAAATACATTCAAATGAGCCTAAGATTGCTTGGTTGCTGCAGAGCCAAGATATATTTATCTGGTTGTGCAATGTGCCACGCATACTGCCACAAACATTTGCTCATCTGACCTAATGGCCATATTACCGACAAGACAAAGCCCGAGAAACGTTTCATTCAAGTAAAATATTGTAAATGTCAAAATATGATCATTTAAACTGGAAGCAACTGGGAATAAAAAAAAAACCTGTTCATGTAATTACCAGCTTTTGAAGTTAGTTGATAGTTTTTGTGGTCACGTGTTAAAAAAATGCATTACGATTCATTCTTGAAGTTAAATTGGCTCAATTAATATTAAACCCACTTGTTCTTGCTGCGTCAATAATAAATCCACGTATTCATTCACTAGAAAAGCCTCGCTCAAGCCTATTATTTTCAGGAGGGAGCGCCTCGAAAAGTACACCGCACGCGAGGGTGCAACACTCAGCACTGCCATCTATTTGCCACCTCGTAGCCCCAAGCATGTGACACATGGCAAGCTCTGAAGGTCACCCATCCAAGTACTAACCGGGATGAAATCCAGCTCACCTTCCGAGACCTGATGAGTTTGGGCACACTCAGGGTTACTTCCTCGTGGGTGATTTGCTTGAACGCACTGCATGCA